CCGGTGGACACAATTTTAGGGGTTACACCAATTAGAACATTTTATAGTCGAAATTTTATAATTTTTATTGTTTATTTAAATTTTATATATTTATAAAAACATTTGTTAATTAGTTATACTTCGTTTTAGGTTATTTATTTAAAAATATATTTTAATTATTCTGAATTACATATAGTATTTAATATATTATAAATAAGTGACATGAGAAAATATTCTTATGTTTTTATTAAATAATATATAAACTATTTAGTAATAGATATGTTTATGTTTAATTTATGGGGGTCAGTGATGCCATTAGTTTTGCCCCGGGTAATACCAATTGAAGCAACACTACTGCTCTGCCTCCTTTTCCCACAAATCCGCCATATCGCAACAATAAATATCTTCTACTAGAACTGCTTCTGTTTTTGTACTGCTTCCTTGGAATACATTTAATCGCCAGTTTCTAAAGATGTAAGCATTTAATCTTTATTTCATAATTAAGGATATAGTGTGTCAATCAGAGGTCTGGATTATTTGAAATCGGGGTTTATAGGTGTATGGTTCAGCGAACATATTGTTTTCTTATTTTGAAATTTTAAATGTATTCGTTAATGCACAGTTATTGATAAAGTATTCAATTTAGATATTGAAATATTTCCGTTTCTACAGAACATTAGTAAAAACTATATTTGTGAATATGTGGCAGTAGCTTGTGGGTGAGGCTAAAGTCGCATGAGCTCCCGGCCCCTTTAATTGTACCATTGGCATTAATTATGCAAACTATTCATTGTAAACTACGTAAATATTGCAAGACAAAATTACTCTTATTTTTAAAAAGAAAATACTCGCAAATATTGAAGTTGCTCAGGAATACGATCGGGCGTTTACTCGCTAAAGGTTTGAATGTACCCTCCCTTGCAGTTTCTATCCGGGAGATGAGAGGTATTTCGTAAGCGATGACATCGTTTAAGGCATACTTGGATAACGCCTGCACACGTTTTTGCATTTTCACTTCTTCTCACACGCTCTGCTTTGTGCAGTTACGCCTAGGGAAAGGCAAATGACCCATTGCAAATGCAGTTTCACGCTTAATACTTTATTACTGATACTCGTGCGATGTTAATAGCATGGTGAAACACGCTACACTTCGAAACACTTCACACAACTACTATATACTCTTGGTGATTATAATAAATATTATATTCGTAATACATTGACCTACTAAGTTTGCAAAGTTAAAATTATTTCATTTTGTATTTATTATCATAAATATAATTCCTTTACAATAAATGTATTGGTATCTGTTTAATTTAATTTCTTGTACAAATCAAACCTATTTTTCCCTCTGAGAAAGTAAGAGACTTTTAAAGTACCTACTGGTTTATAAAAAAACATAATAATAATTATGATTGTGCTAATTGAAGTATTAACACGTAGTGGTTGCTTCATCGTAGAAGTTAGCCACACGAAAAATACGCCGGGTTCTTTTAGAAACAAAATCTCGAACATTTTCGACTATTTTGAACTACAAATTCCACACAACTAGGTTTGTGTTGTAATTTGAAAATGAAGGCTACCGTGGTCTCATATCAAATTATGAGCATCACAAAATTTAAGATTGAACATTGAGCAGAAGAGCAGCTTTTTCAGCTTTTTTCTTACACGAAACAACAACAATAACAAATTCTTTCGTATACTACAACATAAATCTTCGATTAGCATAGGTTGGGTAAAATCATTTACAAAGAAATAACCAGACCTTAATTCATATGAAAGCCCCGTTTGGGAAAAAGCAGCCTGAAAGAAAAAAAAATCGTCAAACTAAATGCCTCAGTAAAATCATTAAAGTAGCAAGGTTCATAAATCAGTAAAGTATTGAAAACTACACAGAAACTTATAAGTATAATCCATTCAATATTATGTTCTCAAGATTTAAAAAAACGTATATGATACACTTCTTGAATATTCCAGCAACTAAAATTTTCCATCAAGGTAAAACCTACATCCACACAGAATTAACTCGCGCTGCACCAGACATATTCAAGCCACCATGACTATTCGAAATATATATTCTCACTTACATACGTAATACACAGTATGTAAATACATACACTGTAAAGCTGCGTATCATAATCAAATAACTCTTGCCACATTCTCTATAAATTGAACGTTGGTAATTGCATGCGTCAGTTTAATGTAACATCTGACCCTAAACACTAGCTCAGTTACGAAAACACGGAGCCTACAATCGATTGTTTCGCAAAATGGAGACAGAGAAATCACCGACATAAACGACAAAAGTTGATAAATTGGAATTTTTGAGATACTCATTTACAGTATGTGATATATCTGACACAAACCAAAAATAGTTGAAAATTGTATTATATTTTTGGATTATCGGATATTGTGAACGTCTGATATAGCAAACTAACGATATTAGACTCTTATAACCGGAGGCGACTATTACGTACAGATGGTCCATGCAGGTTTGTCTTCGCAATGACCGGCAACTCCCCAAACCGGGCGACACACATCAAACCGCACATATTTAGAAAGACATGTCATCCACCCAAAGCGACGTGGTTCCGGATTCCAGAGCAGTGGCGCTGCCGGCGGCGGGCGGAGGAGACAATGGGAGAAACGCGGCCGCCCGCGCCACCTTCCGTGATGGAAGAGACTCGCACGCTCGCGAGGCGGCGCGAGGTGACACGAGACAACACGGGGCGACACGGGGCGCGACGCGCTACACAATAAGAGGCCCCGCCCGACACCGCCCGGCCACGCCCACGCGAGCAGCGGGGGGCAACTGCGATTGCGAAGTGCCACACGGGACTTCATGCCTAATGAGTCTCCTCGTGTTCAGCTTTAACTCATTTATCAGTGTCGTCGCTTGCCTTGGTGTCACTCTGGGCGGCACCCTTTGGCGCGAGAGTGTTAATTTATTGGGCTTCGGGCGTGTCAACTTCTGAGGTCATTAGTCTCGTAAGTGTAGTGTATAATATACGCTGGGAGTGTTCCTCGCTCGCTAGAACCTGAGATCGGATCGTTTTTCGAGTTTCGATTCCGGGTGACACCCTATGGAGTAACGTATTGATTCTGGGCGGGTCATCTGATGTGGTCGTTAGTCTTGTAAGTATAGTGTGTGTTAAACGCTGGAAGACGGTTGTGATCGTCACCCAATAGAACGCCGACTTACGGGTTTCCCTCTGCAGGTATCTTCCTAAACGGGGAACCGCCCAGACGGAACAATCTATGAGGTTCACACTCTCCTCCCGACATGTGTGGTGCTGTAGTGCATGTTGGTGGGTGTGAAGGGGTGGGGAGGCGTAAGGATGGGAAAGGAAACATAGCGCGCGGTTCATGATCCGTTTGTTAGGGTACTGCTCCGGAATTCGCGAGAAACCACTGAAAAGTACCGTCAAGAGCATCAGCTCTTCATACTTCTTCAGAAGTAATTGAAGTCAACCCGACTATTCACTTGTACCTAGGGTTGAAAATCAGCCACAATCGGAACTCAATTCTTTGGACGTCCTGGTCGACGTTGCTGCAGTGGCAACGCCTTGTCACTGAACTATCGCTGCCGCTGCATCATTTAGACTTCCGCCTTTCATTTCCACTATTCCTTCTAGTTCTCAAACAGACATTTCAATATAAGGCACTGTTCTTAAAATGATATTAATAAATAGAATGGAAATAATCGGAAATAATATCGCGAGTGGTTTGGACATAATCTATAAATCAATTAACCGCGTGATGGCGACTTTTCGGTAATTTACAAACTGTGAGTGATTTTTTATCGTGTCTGCATTTGCAAATAAATACTTTAATAAACTGAAAAAATCTATGAAACATTAAATAAGACCAAAAGAGATACACATTGTGCAATTCGGATAAGAGAAAATGACAAAACAACTTAATTTCACTGCCTCCCGGAATACTTTTTTGTAAGACAATGGAAAATGCATATAGGAAAAATTAATTCTACAACGTTTTCTTAATATTTTTTATTACTAATATAAAACAAGTTGACAATTACAAAAAATAAATTTAAAATACTATTATACTAATTAAATGGCCGATCAGATGGCCGAGATCACTAAGGCAGTACTGCCGTAGCGGTCTCGGGCCAAATGATCGCGTGTGCGAGTCCCGCCTCGGGCTTGGTTGTGTTGTGCATATTGAATGTGTGTGTCGTCCTTTCACCCATTTCTATCATCATAATTTCATCTTCAATACCGCCAGGGATACCAATGCTGGGGGAATAAAATCGGATCTAGCTAAATGCTGATCTCATGATAAATTACGTGCGCCTGCCACCGAGACAATGGTGCTGAGCCCCGTTAAATGCAGGGTGCATGCACGTGTGGTCTAAGTAAAGCTATTCGCGAGCAAAAATCGACAACTAATTAAATGAACAATTATTAACATTGTAGAAAGTTATGTTTTCACCGCCTGGAACTGGATCTGGAAGCAGGATTTCGCACTTAACTTAATATTGACGTTTGATGGTTCTTTTATGTGTAGAAAAGGTTTTATTGTTGATGTGGCTAAACTGTCCTGTACTTTGACATTAGCTTGAAGTAGGTACTAAGACATAATTGTACATCGAAAATGTAGATCGCCAAATGTTTCATAATGTTTGGTGTTTAAAATACTGTTTGCCAAATCAGTGATATATGCATAAACACAGAAAAAAACGTATTTGACTATCGAACAAAAAAGAAAGACTTCACTGTATTAACAGAAGAGAAAATTCTAACTTTATTGCTTTGAGATATCTGGATTTGGTTGTTTTCTAAATGAATTCTTACTAAGCAACGGTCTCTCAGCATAAGAGTGAATTGATATATCTACCGCTAGGAGAAAATGAGCCACATATTATCCAACATTGAGATGAGTAAAGCAGACATCCTCCCAAAAAAACCTGATATTTATCAAACGGGTATTTTGTAATTTTGTGAATGTAAATAAAATATTATAAACATAATTCTAAGATGTGAATAAAAGTAATTAAATACCATGTTTTGTTGTGCGTTCAGTATTCAGAAGAATGGTGAGATTGTGCACACTGAAATAAAATAAACATGTGAACTTATTTTCCTGAAAAACAAATGCATATTCTCGTACGTTGATTTGATATTGACGAATTGGTAGTTAATTTATTTTTATGTAATGTATATGGCAAATTTATATAGCACTGTTCATACATTGTGAAAGACGTGAACTCATGACTAAGACATTCATCTGAGCAAACAGTACCTGCTCTGTGTTTGACGAGCAAATACTTGGTGTTTTAAAAGTGTTGGAGAAATAATTGCCAACCGCGTTGTCGTAGAGGTTTGAAGCATCGTCTCAGTATGCGGATTCGGTGGCTGGGTGTTCGAGTCCCGCGTGAGACCCAGCTGTTTTCACAGTCGGATGGCTCATGAACTTGGCTTTAGGGTTGACACGCCTATTTACTCCTCTTTCTTTCTTATCTCTCCCTGTTTTAGCTACATTTCTCTCGCTCACACACACAGTCCTACACATTCACACTTACACACACTCAATAAACATGCATGCAGTTTGTACATACATGCGTTCATATTGACTGCTGTGAATTAAGTTTATGGCAGGCTGTGTTTAGTACGCAGTTTTTCATCAAGAGCCAATTGTGAGGAATTGCGGTGATTAATGTTTTCAATGCTACAATGCATGCAATACAACAAATACATACAATATGAAATACATGCAATACAGCATGCATACAATATAAGAAATTATTATATTTTCACAAACACTTGAGGTAGAAAGTCCGCGCCAACTGAGGTTATTCAAAATGCTTTAATATTTACTCAAATTGGCCAGGAAATTCGTTTTTTACTTTCCATATAGAACCTGTAAATCCAACTCCTTGCAAATAGAAGAAAATTTGCGTGTATCCACGAGGCAGCAAACGAATTAATAATACAATACTTTCAACACAACCGACGACACAACTTTCATCAGCAATGCGCTTGTTGGGAACAACTGCTCTTTTGGAAGAGATGAAACGGCATTTAAGTGAGGAAAGGTCCCACACTTTCAATTCTCCGAATGTCTTCATTCTCTGGTAAAATTGTTCTAGCCGTTCCAAATGTTGTATCATCCGGACATCCAGACAAATATCCACTGTACTTCCCCACTTCTGTCCGTCGAATACGACAATGTGCTCCAGGACGTCCACAAGCCGTCGTTATTCCTCCGTACTCGCGGCAGACACCCAAGACATTTACACGTTTTCGTTTGCCAAGTGTGGTCTGGTGTTTGCGGGGGACGTCGGTGGCGGACTAGTAATCAATCACAACTTTCGAACGGCTTGTTGTTTGAAATACATTGAATTTGGAAACGTTTGAAAATTCTTTTTCAGCTCTTGTTGAGAGAAGTTTGTTTATTATAAGATAAAACGCACTGAATAAACTTGGGTGAGCACATACAATCGTATGAGCACATAGGAGCAGCTACCGTTTTCACTGTTTTTGATGTGGTTGGCTTCTCACATCATCCACAAATCCCATCTGAACCCAATCAATAACCTTTTTTTGTCATTATCATTTGCCAGCCATGATCACCAAAATCCTTCATAATATGGAAAGAAAAAGGCAAGCTACCACAGTGATCAATTTTCCACGAAAGTGGGGGATATAAAGACAGTAGCCTCATCCAAGGGCGGATCCAGCCGATACTTTTTGGGGGGGAATCATAGATTTTTGTTAAATAATATACATATTTGTTATTATATTTGAAAATTTTGTAGTGTGTACGTGATACCATACAATATTATTTTTAAATAATTATATAAGTATAACATAAATAAATATTTGAATAAATTTTACCAAATAAAGGATGGTATCAAAGAAAATCTCAAGACCATTTTGCCCGCCCTCACCTAGATTCCCCTTGCCTCATCATTTGCTTACGCTCAGTAATAAATATGACATTAACCCCTCATTCGAAGAAATATTTGATTGAAAAGGATTCTATATCAGGAAATTCTAAATTAGTAGTTCTTGTTTGTAAATTCAATAAACGGTCGCGCGTCTGTCACACTATCATCAGATATATGAAAATTATATGAGGTTGGTGTCAGGCAAAATGAAGAGAATTCTTAATTAATTATCTGAATGTACACTCCAGAAAGTGCGTATAAAATGCTACCAAATGTATAAAGAATCAAATAATATTAAGTACATTAAAAATGGTGAAAATATAATTATCATAGCAGAAAACATGAAATCTAATGACATGACCAATTCGAAACGCATTCTTTTTTTGTCTTTGTTTAAGTATCCACTTGATTTAGTGTGCTTGCACCTCTGCAGCTCATAAGTTAAAAAACTGAACATATATGATACATTCAGCATTTGAGATAGGGAAATACTGGAATATTATATATGAGAACGTACGAAGTATACAGCAAGTACCGTGCACAAAAATAGAAAATATAGTTGATACAAACATCCCATTCACGCGCCCAAATAATTCTATTATTTACTTCTAATACTGACGGGAGTGCTCGTATCTGTTGCCTCAGTAACGAACGTTTGCCTTAACATTTGGTGTCACCCAGTGCGAGATCCAACTATATCCCTGGCAAATCTCAGCTGTTGACGGTTTCATCTAATCGGGACCTTGAACGTCATCATAATGACGTCACTATGGAGACGTTCAAGCTCCCGATTGCCAACGGCTGCTACCTGCCAGGAGCAAAGTGGAATAAATCGCCTTATAGGTGTCTTTCTCTGGAAATTAGCACAACGTTTGATTTACTTGTTTACGTGTTTGGATTGTTTTTAAATTAGAGTAAATGCAAATCTGTAAGCGCAGAGCTATTCAGAGTAATTTAAGCAACAAATAACATAATTATCACACCTATGAAGCTCGCACACGGCTAGTGTCTAGCACAACGGTGCTTCTCTATCGTTCACAAAAACCAATTCCGTTTTACTTCAACAGTCGTAAATTATTTGTTGAATAAGTGAAGGATGTCGGCTATCCGGGTGACGCCACATCGAGAGCACAGACGCCTGCGATTGTGTTTGTTGAATAATTTATCGACCTGCCATGTTCAGAATTTATAGATATTTCACGTTTAGGCCTTTCTCCTATGAACAATGACGTTGGAAGGCCGCCATTTCGCGCCGGCTGGGCCGCCCCGCGCACGGCCCTCTGCTTCCTCTGCCGCCTTTCCCGCGCGCAGCGGCTTCTGGTCTCGCTCTCTGCTTTCGCCGCGCGCCGAGGAACAACCCACGTGCGAACGAGCGCCCATGGGAAGTCTTTACAAGTGGCCTGCATGCAGGGGGGGGGGGTCGTACATAAACAGGCTACGCAAGTGCTTAGGTCTCAGATAGAGGTCCCTGATAAGATTTTTAACAAAATTATATATTAGAGTTTTTTTGTTATTTAAGGTCGCATATAGATCTAGGTCATTAGCGACCACTAATACATTTAACGGTGTGGCAACTGTAAAGATGGCATGATATAGAGGGTAAATAGACGATCAGAAATATAACCATGCCCGAGGCGGGACTCGAACCCGCGATCCTTCGGTCCGAGATCGCTACGGCACTACTGCCTTAACGATCTAGGCCATCTGGATCGGCTATTTAACGGTTTGTAATATGATTTTAAAAAAGGTATTATTTAAATAAAGTCATATAAATAAACGTAATATAGTTAATATAAATACAAACTATTTGAAAATAGTTTGTGTTCATATTAATTTTTACAAACATTAACTGCGAGACATACTCGCGCAATGCTCTTTTTAATATCTACTTCTCGACACCTTTTCTTTTTTGCACGAAATGATTTACGTGTTTGTCTGGTATTAATCACAAGGTGAATACAACCAGACAGTTACGTTTGCCTCACAAAAACTGGTTTCGCGAACCAGCTTAGACCTGACATTGGATTGAATCGTTATTCAAGTTCAAATAATACTGTAACGCACATAACAAATGGGATATACTTGTCACAGTTTTTTTCTGTTCATTTTCATAAATATTGTACATTTCTCTGACTTTTTAAAATGCAGTAATTTTGGAGAATGTTTTGAAAGTTTAGTAAGATATTTGTTTTAAAATTGTATATTTTTATAAATCTATTTATGAAAACCAAGTACTCAACACAAAAAGAAATTACACCTTCCTCAACCATTCAAAAGAGCCAGAAGCCAAATTACCCCGAAGTAAAGTTCGAGGACAGCTAGAAAAATAAGTATGGACAAGCAAGCAGAATAAACTGTAATAGAATTATTTAAATATCAAAATATAATTTCTCAACAAATAATATAGAGATATAATATTTCCACCCTAAATGGCGTTGCATCAAAACAGTGAGGGGTTGTTATAGACATGAATGGATTTTCAAATCGGGTGTAGACAGAAAAATTAGAAGTTATATTTCGTAGGTCTTGATGTATCTCAACAAAAACATAAAAATAGGTAGAACACATTCGTTTAATTCACCAAGTCAATTTTTTACACGCTCATGTTATCACACACTCTTTTATCATGCTCTTCTGAATTTTTTGATATGAACTGAACACCCCTGTACAGTTGGACCAGTGGCAGCAGAGTAGTTTTCTTTATTTATTACCAACTTTTTCTTATTTTGACGTTGGTCTGTCACTTATTGACATTGCTTAAAAGTATTTTTTGACACACAATCAGTCCATTTGCATTGTAACTACGAATGGGTGGTGAAATAATTTTTTTAACACTTTGTAATTTTTGTAACACATTGTGTCAGACGTGATGACATCACAAACAGTAATTTTAATTTGCAGGATTTGGAGGTTCCGAGAACTCTCATGTGCTACTGGCACGATACTTAATTTTGCGTCTACAAATTATGAATCGTTGCTCAATAATATTTTTCTGACGTGTTCTCTTGGACTGCAAGGAGTGTGGTTGATCTCGCCGCACGACAAATAGTATTCTGAAACTTTCTGAGGGTGTAGTAGTAAAGATGGTATGAGGTACCACATACCCCATCGAGGTGGCTAGGTAAAACATTGCAGTAATGGTATCGCTCGCATGGGGTGAG